CGTAGTGTAGGTTTTAAAAGCACAAGGTGATTTTTAAGTCCTCCTTGTCTAAAACATATATCTGTAAAAGGTAGCATAGCTTATCAACCGAATGTTTTTTGATAAAAAAAAACAATACGGAGCATTCTTATCGGAACAATTTTTAAAGTAATGAAAATTGTTTCTAAATAAAGTCGATTATTTTTCGTGTCGCTTGATCTGAAAAATAACCATTATTTCCAAATAAGAGAACAATTCTTTGAAAAGTATCTGATAAAACATCAGAGATAAGGTGATCGTTAGGAATCGCGTGTCAGCATTCTGAGTGGTTTACTTGTAAGACTTACAATTACCTACAAAGAATGCTGATGTGATTATAATCGTGATAGATTAGTGTCTGGCTATAGAGATTTGAGACAGTGTGGCTAAAATCAGCAAGCGAGGACAAATCTGCAACTGGGTGGGCTTGAATTAAAGCCACTTTATTTATTGTCACGCAGGTAGACATTCACATATACATGACAAATAAGTACAACTTGTAGATATCACCATGGTATGGTCTTGTGAACGAACGACTTTGTCCCTGTTGTAAGATCGCCAGTTGGCAGCGACGTCCGCACGAGAAAGGCAGTTTTTTTCTCCCTTCAGTGGTTGTAGGCGAAGGACAGGTAACTAGAAAAAAATAAAGTTTGCCGCCCTGCATTCTATCCTCGACTTTAATTCTGGGGTTGAATTTTAATAAAGAAAATTGCTTGGAAGATCTTGTAACGCAATATCAATCGGTCAGTGTCTTCCGATTGCTATCGACGATCGCCAGATATGCGGAGAGGTGCATGTCATATTTAGGAAAACCATGTATCTCTTTCATGAAGTTCCTTTTGTTGCGTTTATTAGTGGCTAGCTCACCAGAGAGTTGGATATTTAGAAATCGATATGCAACTTACTTGGTGCATGATATATTCGATTTCCGGCAGGATCTTCTCCAATCAAATTTCTTTTATTTTTCTCTCATTTTCTTTCGCTTTCAGTAACCCCTTGCGTTTAGACACTCTTATCGCCTGAGTGTGAAATGAGTATAAAAGTAAAAAATAAAAAAAGCACTTGCTAATTTTCCAGTGCATGCATGAAACAAAAAAATAGTATTTCCCCCCTCTGTGAAAGGTTCAGGTTTTGGCTTACCTGAGCCTAGATATCACTGCAGTAATAGACTATATAGCGATTGGCCTTCATTCAGTCTTTTGTCAAATTTCAAAAGATATTCCTGATATCAAGTATAAGTGTCCATTTTGTTTCCATTTTCTCTAATACTTCATCTTTGCTCACATGTTTGGCACATGGCATTCTCAGCACACTTCTGTAGAATCATATTTCTATTGCTTCATGTCTCTTTATCTGTGAAGAGATTATCCAGCATTCACTGCCTATATGGAGGAATGATATTGCATAACTCTTCAGTACTTTTTTCTTTGTTTCTAATGAAAAATCTTTAAATGCAATATCAGTCATCATTATCTACTTGAACCTGTTCTTTTATTGTCCTTTCTTCTCAGTAATGTTTTCTGTTTCTTTTGCTCTTGGTAACTCTTTGCATCTTAATGACATTCTTGGGATGAAATGATTTAGTCAAAAGTCTTTGAAGCTCTTCATTTTTCAACATCTTTTTTATATTATTTTTTCAGTGTTTTTAACATTTGATTGTAGGTTTTATTAGATTTCTCCCTCATATTCATTCTCACAAACACAGTTTTCAATTATATTGCTGCTCGGAAAATCAATTCACTTTGTTGTGCTAGGCAAATTTTCTCACAAGAATCTATTTTGCATATTTATAATTCTATCATTCTTCTGTGCATTGAATATGGCTGCCACATTTAGTCTGGCGCTTTGGTTGTATATCGAGAGATTCTTAACAAAAATCCAAAGAAGAATTTGCAACATTATCGATCCTGACCTGTCATCTTGTTTTCAATCACTTTCCAACCACCATAACGTAGCTTTTCTCTTTACTTTTCCTATAAATATTTTTATACTAATTGTTCTGATAACCTTTCCTCGTTGGTAGCTCGGCTTCATGAATTTAAGCTAGGTTTTATAAATCCACTGTTGAAATTGTTACTTTGAACTGTAAGTTCTATGCTAACAGTTTCTTCACACTCGTGACATCTCTCCCGGCTTTCCGCTTTCCTGTTAATTACGATATTAAAAAAAAATTAAATGCAATGTCAATCGTCATCTTCTGTTACATTTAATCATGTTCTTTTATTGTCCTCTATGTTTTTAAACTCTCTTTGAATCCTAGTGGGTTTTATCGCATAGCTTAGGGTGAAAAGATTAAAAAAATGTGTTAATTTTCCATTGCATTCATGAAACACTAATAGTATCATTGTTTTCACTAAAATGACCATAAGAAAATTCTCCTGAGTGGAAAGGCGATTTGCTACTATGATGGCTGTTTAATTAGATACCTCATTTTTCAGTCTGACGTAAAACAATTATTTGACTAATGTCCTTATCCTTATTGTTTTTATTTCTATATTTTAAACAATGTTTTTCAGCCTTTCGCAAGAGGAATAATATTTCCAGCAGTCTTTTTTTCTCTTAGAAATATTTCTCGATTTAGATGTAAAAAAATTCCCACAGAGAAGTTATTTACTACTTAATGTGAAAAATCCAGCTATATAAACTGAGTAGATCAGCATGTACTAATTTTCCAGTGCTTGCATGAAACACTGACAGTGTCTCTCTGTTTTACTGTTAAACTAGCCAGATGCAACCCAATGTTGCTTCCTTTCTAGCACTTCTCATCTGTGGAACTCCCTGCCGATTTCTTGCTTCCCTACCAACTACAGTCTTCTAAAATTTAAATGCAACACCAATCATCATCTTGTCTTCCTGAATCCTGTTTTTTTTATTTTCCTTTCTCATCACTTCTCTTCACTAATGTTTTCCCATTCTCTTCCCAGTAATCTCTTGTGCAGCATTATTGCCTTGCTTGAGTGAAATAATTAAAACAAAATTACCATTTTTTTTTCAACTGTGAAAGGTGTTATATTTTGTTTATCTGAGCATTTGCCCCCTCTATAGCAATAAACTTTATAGTGGTCTTGATTACCATCTGCCTTTTTGTGAAACTCCTATAAACAGCTTCTTTCATCCGACATATTCTCAATCAGCTATGTGGACCTGATTCAATAACAACAATGGGTTTGTTTTTCTTTCCAAACATGTTCAGTTATGACTATTTTTATATCACCTTGCTTTATAACTTCCTCATGGTTATTAACTGAATTAATCAATTCTACTTTGACATTTGACATGTGACATTTCCTACCAGAATTACAGTTTTTGATCCTGTTTCCCCGACAGGGAAGTTTGGTCTTTGAGTGAAGATTCAGTATATTAGTTTTACTATCTTCTATCTGCTTTATCCCTTGAGCATGTTGGCGATCATGGTTCTCCACGATTTCCTATCTTTTATAGTTCTTAATAAATTTTGTCTTTTTGTTATCTCTCCTAAACCTTGTTTCCCCATCCATTTACTCAAGTTCACTAGGTACGTTATGTGTTGTTTTCTAAGTGTAGCTTAGATGTGGAACAAGGCCAAAAGTATGGGACACATAGTGAGGATCAAACTCACTTTTTATTTGTAACTGATCTAGTGAGACAGGCTCGCTAACCATTACACCACGCTGAGGTACTCACTCTAGATAGGTTGTGTTGTTTTCCTCTATTCCTCTTGCCTTCATTATGTCTTGTGAGTATCAAATTTTTCAAGCCCTCTTTCTTCATTATGTGCCCTAGAAATTTCAGCTATCTCTTCCTAATGTCAAGTATACATGTCTTTTTGTTTCCATTTTCTTTAAAACTTCGTCGTTGTTCACATGTTCGGCATATGGTATTCTCATCATCTGTCTGTAGAATCGATTATATATATATACTATTTTCTTTGTAACGATATTCTTTAAAGGCAACATCAGCCATGGTCATCTAGTTTTTTGAAATCTGTTCTTTTATTGTCCTTTCACCTCAGTAATGTTTTATCAGTTTCTTTCAATCTCAGTAACTGTTGTGGTAGGATCCACCTAATTTGCATAGTGGAGTACCGACCATATAAATATGGTTGGTACCGGGAAGAGAGGAAGGAATCAAGAGATTCACTCTCAGTCGAACTCTCTGCATTTTGCAGTGAGGGACCCGGACGAGGCTTTGCCGAGAGGCAGGGTTTCGTCCGGGGGTGGTAGACAGGCCTTGAACCCGTCTAGGCGGGTTCAGAAAGGCCATAAGCCTACGGGCTCCGGAGATACCCACTTTAAATTTTTGTGCCACATTTTATCCTCGTGGGTGGATAGATAAATACAGGAATCAAGAGATTCAACCAGAGACTCTGCCCGACTGCGACTCAGTCAACACATTCTCCAGGAACGGTCTTTACCAGGAATATACAAAAGACTATATGTAAATATTGTGTACACTTTCTTGTTTCAATACATTTTGTTCTAAGTACATTTTGGGTTGTATTATTATTCCATGCATTAGTCAAGTTTCAACAGTAGCCATTTGCATCTTAATAGCAGTCTTGGGATGAAGTGATTTAAACAAATAAAAAGGCTTACAGACAATTATGACAGTAATGAATTTAATATTGTATCTATTACGGGATTTATCCCTGTTCAAACGTTTGTTTTTACCTGGAACTGAAACTTTTAAAGGTAACTCTTTAAACTACATTAAGACAAAGCCACTTGATCATTTTGCCTGAAAGGTACAACTTTCCGCACCTTAAACTTGTAGTAGTAGTAGCTGAGGCAGCAGGTTAGAAGTGTGTATCAGTGAGGGAGAAAGATAGATATATAAATATATATAAAAAGAGAGAGAGGTTATGTGAGCGGGAATACAAACAGTGAATAAAACCGAAACATTCTTTGTGTGTAAGTGAATATAACGAACCCAACCGGAATTGGAACTCGGCTCTCTGATTAACAATTCCGAATCATTATCCATTAAACCACCGCACATCCAAGCTGACAGCTCCTGGTATTCCCAAGCGGTCACCCATTTAGGTACTGACCGGAGTTGGTTAACGTTGCTTAATTTCGGTGATCGTATGTGAACCAGTGTTTCAACGTGATGTGGCCGTAAACCGAAATTAAGCTTAGTAGATATTTAGGCACTTTACTGTAACGACATAATTCGCAATCAAATTTCAAAATTTAATTTACTTGAAAGTTTTTCTTAAAATATACTAAAAAAGGACATTTTTTTTTCAAACGGGGATTGGTTAATTTTACACCGAATCCACGACTCACTCCACTACTGCTGCTGATGACAGACGAGGGCCTGTTTGATGGACGAAAATGGCAACATTTCTTGGTTTGTACATTCGTTAATCATTTTTAAAGGTGCGGTTACTGTCTCTATGATTTGCCACATATTGCTTTGCACACTTAAAAATTAATTAAGGTTCTACACTTAAAAAATAATTAAAAATTCTATATAAAAATATTTCCTTGGAATTTTGATAAGCTTACATGACAAATAAAAAAAATTCTCATTAGAATCCATCTTGCACATTTATAAAGCTAACATTCATCAATGTATTAAATACTTCTACCATATCTGGACTGTTGCGCTTGCTATATATCTCGCGATTCTTGACAAAATCGAAAGAAAGATCTGCAATGTAATCGATCCTGACCTGGCATCTCGGCTTAAAAAGAAAAAAAGAAAAAATATTAATATATTTTTAATTTGGAAAGATTTTAATTGATTTTGGTAAATAAAATCAAGCTTTCCGTTGGCAAATGGATTTTTAAAGATTTTTTTTTTCATTTTATCATTTCAATTAGAAAGTTTTCAAATTCTGTTTTTAGTTATCTTTTTGCGTTGGATCCAATAAAACAATGAATATGCGTGACATGGCTTCCCTCTGTCTTTTCTACAAATGTTTTCTTGGGAATTGTTCTGATGGGCTTTCCAACTTGGTGCATCGACTACAAGAATTTAAACGTGCTACTAGATTGGCAACTAGGTGTCTCAGTTTTACTGTTGAACTAGCCAGATGCAACCGCCATTTCTATTCTAACAGGTTTTTTTTCGTCACACTTCTTTCTCACCTGTGGAACTCACTTCAGACTTCTTTTTCCCCCTGCCGCCTACAATCTTCAAAAATTTAAATGCAACAACAATCGTCATCTGTCTTCCTGAATCCTGTTCCTTTATTGTTCTTAGCTCACTTCTCCTCACTAAAGTCATTCTCTTTCACTCATTGTAACGCCCTGCGTCATATCGGCATTATCGCCTTGCTTGGAGTGAAATGATTAAAAAATAAATAGTTAATAACTATGTTTTATCAGATTCAATGCAAAAAAGATAATTAAAAACATAATATTAAAACTTTCTAACTGATATGATAAAATGAAAAACAAAACATTAAAAGTCCATTTTCCAACTAAAAACTTAATTTTATTTAACAAAATCAACTAAAGTCATTCCAAATTAAAAACAAAATGTCTTAATATTTTTCTTTCATTTTTAGTTAACGGTTTAATGCAGATACTCGGCACTTATATTGTCGTTTTACAAGAAGGATTAAAATACTCCAAGGATTTATCTTCATGAGAAAACTATTTTTTTTTTTTTTATCTGAAATTTTTTTCCCAGAAATTTCATAAAAATTAAATGGGGATGTAAACTTTAAGGAAATACTTCTATGAATTTATTTTCGAAAATGATATATATATATATATATATATATATATATATATATATATATATATATATATATATATATAGTTTCATTCATTACCGGATAAATTGGAAAAAATTAATTAAAATCCAATAGTTATTTGATTTTTGAATGATTTTCCAGTTGAAAGCGTTTATTTATTTTTTGTATTTTTTTGGCAAAATTCCCCTCAAATTTCGCGAACAGATTTAATATTCTCTGTTTATGCAATGTAAACAAAATTTTTGAAGGCAAATACCACCAGTTCTATAAACACCAGAAAAAACATTTTTTACTTTAAAAATTCCTCATCACGAGGTGCGTTTTTTTTTTTCCATTTTTGCGTTCATACTGAACATTAGTTGTTAAATAAATATTGAAATAAAAAAAATCCTAAGAAGAAATTTTTAAAATTTTAATTCCGTTTTGTAAAATTTGCAGCGTCATTCCGGGAAACACACACACACACACACACACACACATATATATATATATATATATATATATATATATATATATATATATATATATATATATTATATAGGCGCGGTAGTTATTGAAAGCGCTCAATATCAGTGGGTTTCACGCATTAGCGATACCGCAAAAGTGTGAAACCCTGTGTTACAAAGTCATATCCATACAAATAAATAAGTACATACATATATATATATATATATATATATATATATATATATATTTGGTTGGATTGATGTGAGGGTTGTCTGACGATCGCAAAAGCGTGAAACCCAGGGTCACAAACTCACATCAATCCAACCAAATATGTTAGCTCTATCTCTGATATTGAGCGCTTTCTAATAAGTACCGCGCATATAATATATAAATAATCATATACATATATATCTATTTATATTTATATACACACATTTTCACACACACACACACACACATATATATATATATATATATATATATATATATATATATATATATATATATATGCGGGACGGCACTACAATTTACTCCTGCCTCCAAAACAAATCTAGTGTCGCTGACAAAACTAAACTGACTGTTCGTCTTGAAAAGGACCTCCAATCGGTTGTGAACTGGGACAGGAATTGGCTGGTTAACAAAACAAAACTGCTCTCTATTAATCACCACAGAGATCCTTCCCTGCCCCCCAATAGAATGTCTGACGCTCAACTTCCCGAGAGCACCTCTCTGCGGCTGCTCGGCCTCACGTTGACTACTAACCTGAGATGGAACAAATACATTGAGTCAATTGCTTCGTCCACCGCAAGGAAAGTTGGCTCCTTGTGCCGCGCTAGGGAATTTTTCTCCCCGGAATCGATCCTTCAAATCTACAAATCAACCATTCGCCCTTGCATGGAGTATTGCTGCCATATATGGTCTGGATCCCCTTCTGTTTGCCTCGAGGTTCTTGATAAGATCCAGAGACGGATATGCAATATAATTGGCCCTGATCTACCATCTCGTCTGAAGTCGCTCTCTGACAGACGTGCCGTCGCCTCCCTCTGTCTTTTTTTACAAATACTTTCATCGTAATTGCTCCGATGACCTGCTTTCGCTGGTTCCCAGACTTCGCGAATTCAAGCGCCCTACGAGGCTGGCATCCCGCTCCCACTCTTATACTATAGAAATTTTTAAATGTAGCCGTCTTTTCTACTCCAATAGCTTCATACCTCGCACCTCTCGCCTGTGGAACTCCCTTCCCTATTCCTGTTTCCCTGAGAGCTATAATCTCCAACTATTCAAATGTAATGTCAATCGACGTCTCCAGTTGCCTTGATCTATCCACTATCCCTATCTGCTCTCGCTCCAAATCCTCTATAACCCCTTTGCGTGCTAGTGGCTTCCCGCCTTGCTAGGGATGAAATATTTATATATATATATATATATATATATATATATATATATATATATATCTTTTATCTGTTTATTAATGATCCATTATCTTTCCAGAAACATATAAAGAAGTGATAGTATGGGCCATTTTCCTTTGTACCTGGCGATTTTCTATAAGCATGAAAACTGTGAGTAACATAGAGCAGTGAAGAACGAATGTATAATTATTCTTAGGATAAATTTTAACTCTGGTATTTTACATCGAGCACAGTTTTAATATTAATGCTAACACTCACCACAGTCCACTATTTTATACACACACACACACACACACACACACACACACACACATATATATATATATATATATATATATATATATATATATATATATATATATATATATATATATATATATACACGTATACATTTATATATATATTCATTATTTGGAAAGAAATTGCCAAGAAAAATCATTAAGGAGAGAGGCCAATAAAAGAATAAAAGCTAAGACCCTCCAATTTATATATATATATATATATATATATATAGATAGATAGATAGATAGATAGATAGATAGATAGATAGAGAGAGAGTGTGTGAGATAGAGAGAGAGAGAGAGTGTGTGTGAGAGAGAGAGAGAGAGAGATATATATATATATATATATATATATATATATATATATGTGTGTGTGTGTGTGTGTGTGTATGTGTGTGTGTAAAACATACATGAAACTAAGGGATTGTTAAAGCCAACACAAAGCCTGCCAAGCAACTAATGAAAATAAACAATGAGACCAAATTCAATAAATCAAAACCAAAAAAAAAAGGAAAAAGAAACATAAATTGAATCCTCCCGAAACAGTAAAAGATACGACTCTATTGTTAAAATGAGTAAGACATAGCAACACTATTCAAAAAGTGAAGATATGTGTGATTAAAAAGGTTAATATTATAATAATGTCGCGATTAAAAATATTATTATTATAATGATTCTGCAATTAAAAATGTTATTACATTAATAATTTGGGCAGGAAATGAAACAGAACGACAATGTCAGTTAATCTGCCCGGAGAAGAGAAATCGAAAACAAATTTAAAAGAACTGTCGCTCCTTTATGTCTGATCCCATTGGCAAATATTTAACTGCGAGAATTTGGGAGAAATAGACTCTCCTGCTCTTACACATCAAGTAAAAATCAGAGATACGTTTTTTTTTATTATTATTGTTTTTAATACCTATGCAAATAAACATGGCTGATTTGTATTATGATGGAGCGATTTTAAAACTTTGTAAATTTTTATTCATAAATAAAAACTATTTAAACAATATTAGGATTTCAAACAAGATTTTTTTTCTTATAGACGAAGGAAAGTGATGTTTTTGGAGCATGAAAATACATTTTAATTGGCCATTTTTGTTTGATTGATTGATTTTGCGTTTTACGTCTTATCAGCCTTTTGCAGGTTATTTAAAGACAGAAAATATTTTTAGATTTTAAGAAATTTTAGAATTAAAAATGATTTACTGATAAAAATCCAAATAATTGATCCATAGATTGGGGTAGAAGAGGTGGATTAGCCCCTTTCCCCAAAGGGTATTTACTCGTTTGTGAATATAGCGAACCCAACTGGAATTGGAACTCGGCACTCCGAGTTATATATTAAACCACCCGCACATCCCTGCTTAAGGCACCTGGTATTCCCAAGTGGCCACCCACCTTTGTACTGGCCAGGCTCGGTGTTGCATAAGCTTCGGTGATCGTATGAGAACCTGTGCTTCAACCTGATATGGATTTAAGCATTTAGAAGGCGATAAGAAGAACTTTCATATGGTTGTGATATTTGGGATTGGGGTGCTAGATTTTTTTTTCCTTTTATTAACTAGTTATCAGCTTCCGCAAAATATGATATGAGATCCATGATTTCTTTCTTATTGAATGGATAATTTGTTTGTTTTTTTTTGGAGGGGGGATGTTATTCAATTCGTATTTCTTTTATTTTGGCGGGGTTGTTTGTGGTTTGTTTTTGTTTTTCGTTTTATTAACTAAAGTTGAGCAAACGATCTGAACACTACGAATCCCCTTAGCAATTTATAGCCCACAGTGGTGACATATTGAATTACCACAATAAATCCATCTTCATAACATTACTTAGAAACCAGGTACAAATGAATGCGAGATCCAGCGGACAATCGGTTTAATGAAACGAAGAAGTTCAATATTCATGATTAGAATGACAGCAATACAAATGCACGATGTGCCCTTATGTTTTATAGATGATGCAAAAACATTTAACAAGGTACAGCACATGGATTTATTTGAACTTCTAGGAAAACTAAATCTATGTGTAAAAGATGTGAGAATAATCCAGAACTCTGAGCAAAATGCCTGTATACAGATAGAGAATGAACTGAATAAAAATTGGAATAGAAATAAAATTGGTCATCAGTGGAAATTTTAAATTACCAAAATCTATTTCTTTAAAAAATGTCCACATTCTTGACAATAAAAACTATTATTATTAAATATTCTGTGGGACAATCTTTTCTTGTAAGTTAGCCTGCTATATACAAAAGTGACATTTTAATATATTTAGAGATCTTAGTTTTAAGGTCTGTTTCATAATCAGATAGAAAAAAACTTTGGCAGGCAACAGTGTTTGTTTTGTCAAGGGTTTTATCTCGATACCTTTAATCACCGTTCTTGCAAATTCTTGATCTTGGAGAAGTCGAAATACACGAACCTTATTTTATTTATCATACTTACTATGAAAACATGTCAGAAAGCCCTTTTTGACCATTTAGAGAAAGATTTTTGGGTATTGAAATTAAAAACAAAAATATTAACTAAACTATTTCTTCGTAAAATTACATGGTGCTCCTGAAAAGTGTATGAACCCTATATTCTAAGGTCTAGAGAGTTTTGACTTCGGAATTTAGGATTCAGAATTGATATATTAAAGTTTGCATGAATATGGGAATTTTTCATCTTTTAGAAGCTAACGTGGATTAAGAAATGCCAGGACGAATGAATTTAGAATTTAGAAATGGGGATTTTAGAGTTTGGAAAATTAAATCTATCCTTTGTCATAGAATCAAGTAGAAATTTAAAACTCATACACAAAACAGCCGCTTTAAGTCATCTAAGTTACATGTTAAACTTCGGTTAATAAAATAGAACACTTTTACGGTATATTTTTATTATCAGCCTCCCAGTCTCAGGGGAACATAATAGATGTGTTTCTGAAGTGTTATAGACTTGCAGTAATATCTGCTATGACTGTGCAGGTCAATGTGCAAGTGGCAGTCTCTACTGCAATTGGGCATAGATGAAGCAAGAGGCCTGATTTGCAAGGATTGCTTCAATAGACTTTTATCTCTTACTTTCGCTACAAGTTGACCTCGACTTTCGTCTGCTTCCACAATGTCCCTATGGACAGTATGATGCCAAGCAACATGATCAATGACCTGATCTTTAAGATTTGATTTGAAGAGCGGTGATAATTTAGATTTACTGAATTTAATTATGGCATTAATTTTATCTGACACAATTCTTAAATGGCAGTTTTCATGAATGTAGCATTGAAAAAAAATGTTACATATTTTGTTTTCTATTGCGGAGCATCGGATCACCGCCCCCCTCTTTCGATGTAAATATTTTATTTTGAATATTTTTCAAAAACTTTTCAATTTACTTATTATTAGAAATTTTTTCATTTTTATTTATATTTAAAAATTTTACGAAGGGGTTCAGTTCACTATGTAAAATTAATATAAATCGATCACCCACTACCAGTGTAATGAAAAATAGGGTTACTAAGCAATTACGTGATTCCAATGAATGGATCTAGTTAAAAAATTGCCCGACCCCGTTTAATTGCCCGCCCCCGTTTAATTATTGCCCGACCCGGTTTTATATGGAGCCTACGGATAATTTTTGGTCGAACCTACGGGCTACGGATACTCCACATTAAATTCGGCCTTGTACCAAATCTGATCGTGTGTGGCGTTTGGTAGATATTCTTCAGTTGGGGATTCATTGTGGAATTCACTTCTAGCAGTTGACTAATTCTTCTACGCGCCGCTGACGAATCTTATATGTGTTGTTCTTGTCCTAAGTCTTATCGTTCATTACCAACCTTCGTGTGATTATTTTATTCTGTAACCTTTCCTAGGTTACAAAAATGTTTAAATCACTATGAGCAATAATATCCTATTAAAAAATTAAATCAAATTTTTATTCAAATGTCTCCAATGTGCAAATTTCTGTAAAGTACTTTGCGAGAATTGTCAGTGCAAAAACTTACATTCATGTTTTTGGCTTTCTTACAAGGACGCTATCAACATACTTCACGTGTTATAAATAAAACATAGATTATTCATTAAAAATGAATTTTATAATGAACATATAGAATAATAGCATAAAGAAAAAATGAAATTAACTTTATAACATTTTTTGTGAATTTCGCTGTTTAAAATAATCGCAAAAATGTAAAAAATAAGATATTGACACGACAATGAATAATATCTCTTTTACATTTTCCTCGTATATTTTTAAGAATTGTTGTAAAATATTAAATTTATTTAATTTGATTTTTGACATTAACTTTATGTGATAAATTCTTTAATAACTGTCATTTTTTTATTAATTTCATACTGGAATTTTTTTTATTTATATACGAAAGACAGAAAAAGTCAAGATACCTTTAAAAAATACTTGTTTGTTCTGTTAAAGAAAAACAGAAATTATTCATAAAAATAATTTTATATTTAATATGGACATTTTTGTAGAATAATAGCAGAGAGAAAAATATCAAATTTAAATTAATTTGATGTGATAAAATTCTTAACGGCACTTGTGAATTTCGCATCGGAAAGGTTTTCAAATATTGCAAGTGTTAACAGTTCGCCCCCAGTGACTGGAGATCTATGCAAGCTAAGCAGATTCCTTAAGGATCGCATTTATATATATATATATATATATATATATATATATATATATATATATATATATACATTTCTATATATATATATATATATATATATATATATATATATATATATATATATATATATATATATATATATATATATATATATATATATATATATATATATATATATATATATATATATATATATATATATATTAAGAAATGGACAAAGTCCGACAATTTATTTATTTATTAAAGACATTTTTATGTTTAACGTTCTTTTTTTATTTACGCTAAATTCGACCTTGCCTACCGAACGCTTCTTTGTGGCCGATCGGTAAGGCACGTCAGCGTAAATGACGGTTCCGTATAGGATGCAGGTTCGAATCCTGTCAAAGGACGAATATTTTCTATGAAAATTTCTCGGACATTCAGGCCGGTAAATGTTATTTAATACTGTTTATTATAAACAGAGCATTTACTTAAATACTTGTATCTATAAAAAAGAACGTTAAACATAAAAATGTATTTAATAAATATATATATATATATATATATATATATATATATACATATATATATATATATATATATATATACACTGGCGAAAAAATACACTTGCAACACACTGTATATGCATTTCAATTTACGCATGTTTAAGTGTATGCAATACATCTAGATATATATGTGTACATGCCCTAAAATAAAAATTATATAAACAGCACTCATGCTCCATACTAATGCACTGTCTATCCTCCTTGGGGGTAAACAAAAGTCTCTACCCGAACATGCATTGTTTTGTGCAGAGGTTAAATACCGTCTTGCGATAGGTTATTGCATACCTCTTGCAGCTGTTCATGCAATGTAGAGAAGTATGCAGGTTGGTTAACTGAATGAGCCAGATTCCCTCGGCTCATATCTCATGCAACGGAACACAGAGAAGTTGTCGAGCATTCTTGCATAGCATGTTGAGCATATGTGCGATGTTCAGCATTGCAAGAAAGGAACAAGAAAGAAATGTAAGCACGAATTGAAACTTCCAGTTTTCTACTATACGTGGGCTAGTTTTGAGTATGTGCATCTGAGAAATACTTTTTTACGTCTACATTCTCCATGTAAGCAATTAATCACCTGCATGACGGCAAAGCCTGCTCTCATCACTGGAATCTTAGTAAAGAAAATAATCTGAGTAAAGGGGATGCGCTTTCTTCAAAAAAGAAAAAAAAATAGTCCTGATTGCTGAGACGTTCTTCGTGGCCGAGCGGTTAAGCACGCCGGATTAAACGGTGGTTTTCTTTACAAAGAAGGACACAAGTTCGAGCCCTGTCAGAAAACATATTTCCTTTACTAAGATTTCTGGAATGTGCAAGCTGATAGAGGTTATATAGGTTGTTTAATAAATAAAAATAAGACGTCTATTTCAATTACGAAGTGTACCCTGTAATAAGAATACCGAATAATAAATAAATAAACGTTATATTTAATGAGTACATTTTAGACATGCCATTCTTTTGAAACTGTAAAATTAATGTATACCCGATATGTATGTGTGTGTCTTTGTAAAGCGAGACAGATGGACATACTGAAATAGATATAAACAGACTAGCATATATATATATATATATATATATATATATAGATAGATAGATAGATAGATAAAGATACAAACTGAGACAGATGTAAACACTGATATAGGCATACATGTAGGTACCGTTATAAAAATATCAAGATATGGTCACAATATATTTTATTAAAGAATAAATTGGTGTATTTATTCCTCAGAAAAAAAGTTTTTGCGACATCCAAACTTTAAAAGAAGTTTATTTTTTATTCTTTAGAGTAAATAATAATAATAATAAT